TGTAGACACTGTGGCTAGGTGTTGTCAGGCATGGCTTCGAGAATGCCGTACGCAAAGAGCAAGGGGCACTGGACGCCGCCGTAGAACAACAGACCGTGAAGATCGCCGCCTAAGATTATTGGCCTTAAGGGACCATTTCTCCACTACCAGGTCCATTGCAAATGAATGGTTTGCAGAACACGGAAGACCTATTGGCATGCGAAGTATTTACCGACGAATGAGAAGTTTTGGCTTGTTTTCATACTGGGTCCTCCCTTTAACTCGAGAACACCGACGTAATCGCCTTGAGTGGTGCAGACAACGGTCACTCTGGGATCAGGAATGGAACAGTATTGTCTTTAGTGACGAGTCTCGATTTTGTTCAGGCATGCACGATGGTCGTGCCAGGGTTAGAAGGCGACGTGGTGAAAGGAAGAATCCACAGTTTTTTGTTGAAAGACATGTTCATCACACTGTTGGAGTTATGGTTTGGGGTGCTATAGCTTATGGTTCCAGGTCACCTTTAATATTCATCAGAGGTAACATGAACGCGCAGCGTTATATAGACGGAGTTCTAGAACCCCATCTTATACCCTATCTTGACACCCTGGCAGATCCAACTTTCCAACAAGATAATGCCCGACCACATGTTGCAAGAGTCACAATAGACTTCTTTCAACATAATGATGTCACATTGTTACCATGGCCACCAAGATCTCCCGAGTTATCCCCAATTGAGCACGTGTGGGATATGATGGGTAGGAGATTGCTCAATTTGCAACGTCCTCCTCAGACTCTAGAAGCACTTCGAGAGGAGTTGGTGGTTGCCTGGAATGAGATACCACAGGAGGACATTGACCACCTGATCAGAAGCATGCCTAGGCGCGTTGGAGAATGCGTAGCACATCAGGGTGCATCCACACATTATTAAAGGTCAAAGGGCTTTAAAGCAGTGCAATCATTTTGAAATTTTAATCATTTACTTATTATGCTTTATTAAGTACTTATACAAAATTTTATTAAAATAAAACCATTTAAACTGGGTGTTCGGATTTATATGTCACTTAGTATATACTGTACTGTACTGTACTGACCCTTCATAGAGTTACATGTTATATAAGCCCAACACAAATCGAGGTTACTTACTTATGGGAGAGGCTAGGATTGATATTCATACCTTTCTCTAAGAAAGATTTCCACTCACACCTTCATTTGGAAGCGTCTTCTTGATTTATCAGCAACCTGTAACCTAGGTTATTTCTGTCTGTGCAATATTGTGGTTCCAAAGTGCCAAGTGAACAGCTGGTTTCTGGTACGCGCCTTTACTTATTTCCCGCTTTGGGTTTAGGTTTAACCATCATTGTTAATAGTATTTAGATAAAATTTTTTTCTGGTAAATAAATGCGGCTTTTGTTTTTCGAATCGAATTTCTCGTGGACCCTGATAAAGAACTACCAATTCAGAAATGTTACGCATACTACTCATCTATTCAAGTGGTTTTTTTTAAACCTCACAATCAACACAGGTATTCTGCAAGGATCTCTTTTCGCTCAAACGTTGATTAACACTTAGCCGATGTTAAAGCTACAATGATTCTGAACACCCTGTTGCCATTTTATCGTGTGTACACCCTTTTTTTGAAATCAAATATTATACGTATGTCATTATACATACATGGATGTATGAATCGTAAAAGGACTTGTTAAATCTTTGTGATATGTTGTCACCTGTCAGCAGTATGAAATATTCCGAATAAGTTGATCCTGGAACATGTCGATCTTTGTTTATAAATATTAATGTATGAATGTTGTACATGTATGCGAGGATATAATTTGAATAGTAAAAGTATGTAGTCGTATGTACAATTTCAGCCTTTGAGGCTACTTCAGTGAAGAAAAATGCTTGCTGGATTTTAACACTGTTGATCTTCTTTTATTTTATACGTATACGCAATATCAAAAATGAAGATTTGATCACATTTTAGAACATCTAGCATTTTATTGGTGGCAAGTGTCGAGTTCATCCGTCAAGCATCATAATCACAAGGTGAGATGTTCTTTTCACTTCCTCACTGGCGAGGAAGTATTGTAATAACGAAAAATTTCTAGAATGAGATATTCTGTCTTAGATGTCGTTATGACGTGTACATCTTGAAAAACCACGTCACTCATTTTCGTCTGTCTGTCCGCCAATCCTTGACCCTGCTATAACTTGGAAGGTACCGGTCAGGTTTTGATGAATTTTAACACGAGGGTACTACAATGAAAGACATAAAAAAGCTCTGTGAGTCATTAAGATATATATGAAAACATTTATAAATCAAGAATATTTATATCTGAGAGGTTATAGTATCATTTCAGGACTAGAATATTTTTTTAGTTTTTCTTGAGTAGCACTGCATCCGTGTGTTTTAGTATATCTACTGATACGTTATAATAGTGAATTCCGGCATACCTGGGGGACTTCTTGGAAAACATGTGAGAGAAATTGTCAACATAAAGGTTTATTCTACTTCTAGTAAATTCTGCTTAATTTATATGTTACCGGCAATCTGTATAATCTGGTATTCTATACAATACAATACCTAGGTAATGTATATAATACCTAAAACGTGTAAGTAATGTATGAAATATTATTAGTAAGCAAAGAAAATTACATTATGTTAATTATAGCCAGAATAATTTTTAGTTTCACATTAATTTTACTCTAGTAACAGAAAGGTGCTTTTTTGTTCCCTTCTCATAAACTTATTTTTACGGAGCTCTCTAATTGTTAATTTTAATAAAGTTGATTTTAAGTGATATAACTTGTTTCATTTGCCCGTCGTTTTATAGGTATACCTGTTAACATTGATAAATTTAGACCAAGATCTATTTACAGCAGGTACTCTTATATCCCTAATCCCTAGGAATTATATTCATTACATAGGTAAAGTATCCGATGGATAATGATATTCACAATATTCCATAGTTTACCTGGTTAAGTCAGGTATTCTATATATTACCTAGGTTTTGTAGAGAATACCTGAATTTTACAGAATGCCGGTAACATAACGATTTTAAAAAGATATTCCCACAATCGTTAATAAATGATTCTCGATAAGTGCATTGCGACGTGGCTCAACTGTTCCTAGGTCGAAAATCAAACGCACAATTCTTTTTTAGATGATAAGAACTCGAGACCATTAAGGAGCTTGTCCCCACGAGATCATGTTGTATGAAATAGTAAACATAGGAATAATATTAGGTCAACAAAACATTGCGGGAATGCAATGTGCCTAAAGCAAAGTATGCGTATTTAATTTATTGCAAATTACGTCAATATAAGGAACCGATCAAAGCTTACTATCAACCTCTGGCATTCAAAGAAATTTGCAGTATCAGCAGAATCGATATTATATCTGTCAAGGGATAGTTGTACGCCTACTTCCTTTTGGTACTGCCCAACTGGGTAAAAATAGTTTTGCGTTGATTAATAATTAAACGGTTAACAGAGCTGTTCTGTGACAGATTTGTGAGATGGGAGATCGTTCATGTATAGCGATAATAGGAGTGGACCTAGCGCCTAAATTAATTTCTCTAATATCTGCAATTCCATCGCCAATTTTCATCACAAGTTCTATATTTTTTATTGTATTTCTGTTAATTTATTAATTTTAACTGCTGGGAAGCTAATCTATTTTATCTGCTGTTGTTAGCCTATGTCCATTTTAAAATATTTAATTTAAGCTATTGTTTGTTGTTGCTTGTCATTTTACTGTTTGTTTTTTTATGTATATACTTTTAAATTGTTTGTTGACGAACCCTATACATGTTTTATACATGTCTAATGGGTAATAAATATTATTATTTGTGATAAATGAGTAATGATGATGATACCTGTCGGACACCTGAACGACCGTAGATGTGTCTGCTTCAAATGTTGAGGAATAATTGAGCGATCTAGGCGATGATGGGTATATCCGTGTGCAAAGCGTGTTGGGTTTTCACTTGCTGAGTGGTCGGTACTGTTGGTACGGCCTTAGGCTAGATCGCAATGTTGTCAAATCTGTGGGGGCTATGAACTAGTTGTACGATACTGTTTGGCTGACATGATCCATTTAATTGCTTTGTTAAACACGTTCGTAGCCAATTTGTGCTGAACGTAATCCTGCATGAATTGATGGCAGCGTTACGCAGGAAGTACCTACAGAGTCAACCTACTCGACGCCATTTTCTCAATTCTCAATACTATTCGGTGCACCGTAGATTTGTTGGTAACCGGCATTGTTTAAACTTTAGCCCCGAGACAAGGAATTCCTGCCTCACGATGAACGTTTTTCCAAACTACTTTACAGCAGCAGCGCCTTTAGATTTACATGAACCCGAATTCGCGTAAAAAATAGCAGGCGTGCACTCGACTACGCTTTCTTTATTGTTTGCAAATTGCTGTGCGCTACAGCCGGAAAAGACTGAGCCGTTATTTGTTAATTGCTCGCAGGGTACTTTCTAATCGCGTTGGGATTTCATTTAACTAGATCCTTGGGACCGCAGGCTCTGGAGAGCAGAAGCCTAGCAGGTCCATCTCGCAAGCCTAAAGCCTGGTACTTCTAGACTTTTCAAAAGCTTTTGATACCATTAATCATGAATTGTGGGTAGCTAAACTTCAGTACTATGGCTTTACTAAGGAAGCATGTTTGCTTTTAAAATCATATTTGACAGGAAGGCATCAATCGATTCTATCAAATGACACATTTTCAGACAAAGAGGAGATTCTATTGGGAGTTCCTCAGGGATCAATATTGGGCCCCTTGTTATTTTTAATTTATACATCTGATATCCTTACGTCTTTAAAGTTTTGTAAAGTTCAGGCCTTCGCGGATGACACCCAGGTTTATTGTTTTTTTGATATCGAGGATTACAAATATTATGAAAATTGTATAAATGAGGACATTAACACCTTAAACAATCTCTCAGGTCACAACTCAAAACTGAATCCGGAAAAATTACATGTAATGATTTTTGGTAACAAATCTAAGACTGAGTTTTTGAAAGCTAATCTCAATATAATGACTAATAATTCAAAATTGAATCTTGTTGAAAGTACAAAAAATCTCGGTATAGTTTTAGATTCTCAGCTTAGATTTAAAGATCACCTAAAAAATCTTATGCAAACATAATTTTGTCTCTGGGTTTTGCTTAGATCAGGCAAGTAGAGGTCGGATTCAGAAGGTGCAAAATGCGTGCCTCAGGTTTATCGTTTATCTATGGTCTGCGTAGGATTGATCATATATCTCATTTGTATAAAGAAATTAAATGGCTTAAAACGAATGAGCGTCGCACTCTGCATTTTTCTAGTTTTTTATTAAAAATTATAAACACTCCAGGTTCACCTGATTCTATAAGAAAACGCTTAATTTTCCGACATTCTGTTCATGATATAAATGTAAGATATTTAAAAAAATTAACTATGCCGCTTCATAGTAGTGCATTGTTTTAACGATCATTCTCATACAATGCTGTTGAACAATTTAATTCAATTCCCAACCAGTTCCTTAATCTTTCTCTTTCAAGTTTCAAAATACAATATAAGAAATATTTGCTAAATACAGATCTGAAAAAACTTTTTTTGAATAGAGATTAAAGTTTATAATATAGGTATATAAGTAGAAAAAATATGTCAAGCAAATTTTGTAGTAACCAGTAACCAAATTTTATAGTGACCAGTATTAATTAATATCTTTTTGAAATTTTAATTTAGTTTCAGTCCATTTAGTCTTAACACGGGATTATTATTATGGTATGTATTGTTGTTTGAAGACTTATTACTATTATTATTTTTTTTCTTATTTTGGTGCAGTAGAGTAGATTTAAGCTAGACTTGCGCCAATATTAGGCAATGTATTCTATATTTTTATTCTAAATTACCTTTGCAAAAAGATTATTTGTTGTATCCAATAAAGTCATTTATTATTATTAAGTTGGACCCCTATGAGTTGCATAACCCTGTTCACTATTCCTTTAAGATCTCTTTTCAAGCTTCAATAATAGCCGAAACTTTGTCGTTAAGGAATTGAAAATTAAGTATTCATTGATTGATAATTTTTATTAGGGATCTTGTTTTGGAACCTGTTTTTCAAATCAGGGTTATCTAAGGCTCTTGGGAATCATTTTTGACAATGGTATTTAACTATCGTTTATAAAAGTGCAAAGTGATATTTGACATCGCAGAGTAAATGTCACACACTCTCTAATGTACATAGTTTTAGCTCCTCATATTTTTTAAAATAATAACAAAAGGGCGGTTTGATTTTATTATTATTTTATTATAACAAAATAGAAATGAGCAGAGTACAATACTATAGCTCATGTACAAAAGGAAAACGTAGGCTACGAATGAGTAGCGTAAAATACATAAAAATGAAACAAAAAGTTCGTAGCTATAAAGTTTGTTCACTGTTCCACCTATTGCAATACACTTTGAAGTTATTGACTTGCGTAGCATTAACCACACTTTCTGGTAACCTGTTCCAACTATTAACTATGCGAGTGGAGAGAAACGACTGTCGAATTGTTCTAAACCTTATGCAGCTTCAATTTATGACCGCGGAGATTGCTGTGAGACAGTTGGGATAGGTGCTTCAGGTTGGTGGCAACTCGATTCGAACTTCATAGCTGGGTCTACGAGCTCCAAACGGAATCCGAGTTGCTCGACGCTGTACTGCTTCGAGGATATTTTTGTCGCGCACAACCACAGTTTCCCATACAGGGCCAGCAGATTCAAGAACTACCCTTAGACATTTCTTGTCAATGAAGGCGCAAGTGTTGACGTCGGATCCTTTGAAAGAAGACATCTCCAACATGTCTAGAATCTATTTCGCTTTGGTTGTTACGTGGTGTACATGCTCTGACCAGGATAAACGATCGTTGACTACAACATTTATAATTTTTATCAACAACTTAAATAAATCCTTTAAATACGCAAATTGTCTATTATACGCCGATGACTTGAAAATATTCCATACAGTGAGAGACATTAATGACTGTAAAGAAATCCAAAGTGATATAGATACTTTTGTCAATTTTTGTGACAATAATGATTTGTTTCTAAATGCTGATAAATGTACTTTTATTAGACTCTCCCGGAACAAATCTCTCATAGAATACCGCTACCAAATCAAAAATACACCTTTGAAGGAAACGGATATAGTGAAGGACCTGGGAGTCCTCCTAGATGCAAAAATGACTTTCCAACCACACATAGAAAACTTGATTTGCGAATCAAACAAGATGCTGCGATTTATCTGTAGAATCTGCAGGGATTTTAAGAGTGCAAGAGCCATGACATCCCAATATTATGCATATATTTATAACAAGTTGAACTTTGCTTCCGTTATATGGAACCCTCAGTATATTACATACATAAATCGAATTGAAAGTGTAAAAATAGATTCCTGAAGAGATTAAGTTTTAAAATCGGCAATCCGGTACGTGACGGAAACTATGATCATATTAGACAGCATTTCAATATCATGACCTTAAAAAGTAGAAGAATGATGTCCGACGTGTGTCTTATATACAAAATATTCAACAATTTTGGCTGTCCCTATTTGCTTTCAAAAATAAATATTAATGTGCCAGATAGAAACTACCGCCATTCCAAGTTTTTCAGGATTCCCTTCTGTAGAACGAATTTAGGAGTCAACTCACCTGTAATTAGGGCCCAGAGGGTATTTATCGATACCTCTATAAATTTGGACATTTTTGTGGTTAATTTTAACAAGTTTAAAACAACGGTAAGGAGGCAGCTTACATAGGATAGTATCATACTATCTAATTGTTTGTTTGCTGTGATACTGTTGTCAACCATTAATACGTTTATGTACTTTTATACAGTACTTTTTATGTTTTGTTATCAAAGCTGCCTAGTAACGTGCTCTGTGTTTGTGTTTTTTGGTGACTAGTGCGATTCATGGAATAGTGTAATTGATACATGCTAATTTTTAAAAAAATTAAATTTTAAATTTATATCGTTTTATAGTAGTTGCTATATCATCATCACATATAGTAGGCTTGTGTTACAGATTTTCATATCTTCTGGATTTTGTAATCAATGTATCTTTTATTTTATTACTATAGCAAGCAGCGGGTGCTGTCTTTGGAATTCACATTCTGTTGCACCCCAAACATGAGTAAATAAATAAATAAATAAATAAATAAACACTAGTGACCGCTTTGATGGTGCGATCAGAGATCTTGGTCAGTTTATTACGTCAAAATATGCCAGTTTCACTTTTACTGATGTCCATGAACGAAGTTGGCTATTTTTTTTTCTCTAACAAAGAATATAATAACAGGCCTCCAGCATGAGAACAAGCGGTAGCGATATCTAGTAGTCATCTCATGTTAATCAACGGCATATATCATTTTTATACTATCAACAAGATAGGATCAATTATGGAGGCTTTTTGAGCGCGTTGGCTTGATAAAGATCGACAATCAATTACACACGGCACAGAAAATATCACAAAGCTGGTTTTGATTAAAAGTTTTAAGGCGCTCCATACACTAGATGTCATCCTTGAAAAGCCCCAAACTATATAACTGCTTGTCATCTGAGTATAACGAATCCAGCCTAAAAAACTCTTAAAAAAGGTGACTTAACCCATTTATGCCTAATGTACTATGAATAGTACAGACTAAACTTGTTTGTTCCTGTAGATATCTGTACGATTTGGTTAAATTGAATAGCTCCCGGCGACAGTTTCCGGGTGGATCTCGTACAGTACGGAGTAATTTGGGTATTGTGCAATATTTTGTATGTGAAATCAGTTTTGGTATATTGGAAAATAGAAGATGAATGAATATGGCGTGCGCTTTGCAAAGTAAGTAGGTTTTTTATGACATAAAATAAAAAAAAGTTTATTTTTATGAAAATATTATTTCCTTAGTTGCGGCTTCTAGATTTTATGATTTTATGATGTGTTTCATTTATGCTTTGTTTGTGAGGTAGATATTTAGTACATCAGGAAAAAAAGGGGTCTACGAATATGTTCATAGCCAAAACAAAAATAAAATGGTTTTAGGTAAATTATTTTTGAATAAGTAATTATTTTGAGAAGGAACATTTGTTTCAGAGGTTTTTCTTTGCATGAGGCGCTAGCAATGATAGAAGATGACGACATTGAAGCTGAGTCTATCACTTTGTTACCTCTCACTAATGCATGCGGTAACATAACCGACGAGGATTCTGGAGGCAAAAAAAGACTGGATATCAACAACTTGCCAGGAAGCTTAATGCAAGCTGAGGTCGAAGTAAATAAGAATCAAAACGTGGATATGTGGAGTTCAGAAGATGAAATACCACTCAGTGAAATCAGGGGTAATAATCGCAAGGAAGTGAAAAAGAAGAAAACATATAATTACGTAAAAGAAGATTTGCCAAGAAATGAGTATGCGTTTCCAATAAACAACGAAAATCAAAATGAACAAGAGCAGTCCCAAACCGAGATATTTTTTAGTTATTTTGATGACGAAATTTTGAACATAATAATTGAGGAGACAAATCGGTATGCTCAACAGAAAAACAGGAATATTATGGTTACCAAATCTGAAATCAAATGTTTTCTAGGCATATTATTGTTGAGTGGCACAGTAGTGTATCTCGCAGAAGGACGTATTGGGAAAAATCCAGTGATTCACACAACTCACGTGTTTCTGAAGCTATTTCTCGCGATAAATTTGAATTTATAACGTCTCACATTCACTTCCTAAACAATGAAGCTCTGGATGCAAATGATAAATTTGCTAAACTAAGGCGTCTTTTCAATCACCTAAATAAAACATTTTTGGAATACGCAGTACCAGAAGAGCATCATTGTATGGGTGAGGCAATGGTTTCATACGACGGGCGACATGGTTGTAAACAGTATATCCACGGGAAGGCAATACGTTATGGGTTCAAATTTTGGGTTGGCGCTACTACTCTTGGTTACATCTTATGGTTTGAACCTTATCATGGTGCTTCGAAGTATGTGAACGCGGCTTACAAATCTTTAGGTGTTGGCGCATCAGTTGTATTGAGCTATGCTAATAGGCTAAAAAGCAAATGGGCAAATCTTAGGTTTCATTTTGTATTTGATAATTTTTGTTCTTCGCCAGCTTTGTTTGAAAGCTTGACTGAAAAAGGCATATGTGGTACAGGAACAATTCGTGAAAATCGTATACCCATGTCAATTCAAAACTTATGAAAAAGGAACAACGTGGAGTGTTTGATTATACCAAAGTAAAAGATAAAAACTTAATTTTTGTAAAATGGAATGACAACATTATTGTAACTTTTGGGTCTACAGCGATTGGAATCGAACCAGTAAATTCAGTAAAGCGGTATTCTCAAAAAGAAAAAAAGTTTGTGTATGTAGATCAGCCCCAAGTTGTCAAGCTGTATAATAAATGTATGGGCGGGGTGGATATGTCAGACCAGAATATAGCTCAATACAG